CCCCCTGGAGGCATCTACACTGTAAAACGAGTGCAGTTTGACACCATTTTTTTCAATGCTATGGAATTGTGGGAGTTTTAGTATTACAATGGCTTTAGCATTTAGCAATATCTGCCCAAGAGTGCCAGTGCCTTACCAAATTACAACTCCTAGGAGTCAATAACAATAAGCCATGATAGTTAAAGTGGTATCAACCTGCCTATAGAAGGCCAAGAGCTTCCCACCTTTGCATTAGGCTTCACTTCCTCTCACACACCTCACATTTCCTTATACATCCTTTGCATGTTGACAGCTTTTAAAAGGAATGTATGCCTTTGTTAACATGCTTCTCTTCCTTTTTAGCAGTCATTCCTTAGAATTATTAGGAATGATGTCATCTGGAAAATATTCCTCAGAGTTACTTACTTACTTAGGCAATTCTCATTGTCTGAGTAAGATTATCCTCAAAGTTCGGTGTACTGGCTCTGAGTCTGTAGGTGACTGTGAAGCCCTATTCTTGACCTGCATGTTCTCCCGCATGTGATGACTGTAGACTGTTCACGTCTCACAGACGTATAACAGGGTTGGGAGGACAATAGCTTTATAAACAAACACCTTGGTCTCCCTACGGATGTCCCATTGGTGGAAGATGCTCCCAGTCGGGGTTCGCTTGACACCCTTCCTCTTGGCACATTTCTCTCTTTCACCCTCTATTTGTGCCTCTTCAAATTCTACAGCACTGCTGGTCACAGCTTACCTCCAGCTAGAGCGCTCAAGGGCCAGGGCTTCCCAGTTCTCAGTGTCTATGCCAGAGTTTTTAAGGTTGGCTTTGAGCCCATCTTTAAATCTCTTTTCCTGTCCACCAACACTCTGTTTTCCGTTCTTGATTTTGGAGCAGAGCAACTGCTTTGGGAGATGGTGGTCGGGCATTCGGACAACATGGCGGAGTTGATAGCGGAGGACCATCGCTTCAATGCTGGTGGTCTTTGCTTCTTCCGGCACTCTGACATTTGTCTGCTTGTCTTCCCAGGAAATTTGCAGGATTTTTCAGAGGCAACACTGATGGAATCATTCCAGGAGTTGCATGTGATGACTGTAGACTGTTCACGTCTCAAAGACGTATAACAGGGTTGGGAGGACAATAGCTTTATAAACAAACACCTTGGTCTCCCTACGGATGTCCCAGTCCTCAGATTCTCTGTGCTTCATTCGGAAAAATGCTGCACTCGCAGAGCTCAGGCGGTGTTGTATTTCAGTGTCAATGTTGACTTTTGTGGAGGGGTGGCTGCCAAGGTAGCGGAAATGGTCAACATTTCCTAATGTTACACCATTAAGCTGTATCTCTGGCATTGGAGAGGGGTTGGCTGGTGACTGCTGGAAGAGCACTTCGGTTTTCTCGATGTTCAATGACAGTCCAAGCTTCTCATAGTCTTCTGCGAAGGTGTTTAGAGTGGCTTGTAGGTCTTCTTCTGAATGCGTACAGACGACATTGTCATCAGCAATATTCCTGCTTCTTGGCAGGGGGTTGGACTGGATGGCCCATGAGGTCTCTTCCAACTCTTTGATTCTATGATTCTATCAGCATATTGGAGTTCTATAACAGATGTTCTTGTAATCTTGGTTTTGGCTTTCAGTCTGCTGAGTGGACCATAGTGCATCCAACATCTGTTTTCTTGGTCGTCTTCTTTTTGTTATCATTTGCCTGTGTGCCAGGAGAAATGTAATACGCCTTCCCACATCCAGGGCTTCTGCTGTTCTGTTGAAGCTCCTCTCCTTTCCCAAGAGATTTTCTCTTGCTTAATCAGTCAGCGTTTGTGCCTTCTCTTTTCCCTTGTCGATTCCTTCTTCCTTTACCTGAAACCTGAAGTGAATAATCTGCAAATTTGGCATGACATGCTTTTCCTGACACCTCTGCTCCACTTGGCACCTGGGAATAACAAGGCATAAACACCACAGCCAAAAATACATGAACTCACGTAGGGAAAAAGAAAGGTTGTAAGATCAATAGACTTCCCTGCTTTCAACGAAGGCAGAAAGCACTATAAGATCACTAAAGACAGACACTCAACAGTTTTGAAATAACCTGGCTTCTGCTTTAGTTCAGGGCTGAGAGCACACCTGGGAATTCATTTAAACTCTCTATTTTTATCTTGGATTCTTAGGTTCTTTCAAAACATCTCAGGTGAGATCCAATATGTTTGGTAGCAAGCAAATCAAAAAACAGGGAAATGAATATTAAGTACTAGTCACAGTCAATGTTGTTCCCTTGAAAGAGAAGACCTGAAGGATTTGGACCATGAAGGTTCATCACCCCAAACCACATCAGATGGTCCACTTGTTTTAGGACATTGCCTTGGTGCAAAAGAAATAAAAACAAGAACTAGAGAGCAATTCTGGTTGTTCCCAAACTATTATCCCAAGTTGGATCAGGATTCCTGACTGTACACTCGAGAGAAGGAGGTACAGAGACATACCCTCCAACATTTTACAGGCAAAAAAGGGACACAATTGGTCAAGCGACATTAAAATGTGGTCAAGATGGTAAAAGCTATTTCTGTGGAAGAAGACGTAAGGTGGGAGAGATTACAGCAATTTGCTTTTGTTGGTGGTCACTGGGGAAGGGCAAGATTCCTCCTTCTGCAACATCAAGGAGGTGAAAGTTGTTCACTCCTTTATTAGCATCAGGATTAGTAACTAGATCCCCTCACCCTTTTATATCTCTAGATGAGAGAGAGGTGCTTTGTGGTTTATTTTCCCTCTTTAGACCACCTTGTTTTTTGGTTTCATGTTTGACCTTTAAATGTATCTTTTTCTCATCTCTCATTTATTCATTTGATGCTCCTTATCTTTTCCTCTGAACATATTTCAGTGACAGGTTCTGCCCAATTTTGCTCCCTCTTTTCTTCTGGTTTTTGCCTCCTTGTTCAGCCGAAGTAAACATTCCTTGCTGTTTCTCTGTCAGTCCTCATCTTTGAAATTCTCTCATGATTGACATTGCTTCGACTGCTTCACTGCTTGCATCCCAATGATTTCCTACTCTTACCTGTTTCCTTAGGCTCTCCTAACTACAATCATGTGAAAGAATGTCATAAGGAGGAGGGAGCAAACTTGTTTTCTGCTGCCCTTGAAACTGGAACTCGGAGCATTGGATTCCAATTTCAAGAAAGGAGATCCCATCTGAACGTTAGGAAGAACTTCCCGACCATATGAACTGTTCGGCAGTAGAACTCTTTGCCTCAGAGTGTGATGAAAGCACCTTCCTTGGAAGCTTTTAAACAGTCTGGGTAGCCATCTGTCAAGGGTGCTTTGATTGTGCTTTTCTTGCAGAGGTGGGGGTTGGACTAGATGCCCCATGCTGATTTTATTATTCTATCTATGATTCTATGTTCTTTCACTGTAGAGTGCCTTAAGCGCATAATACAGTAAGCAGTTCACATTTGCCTGGGTTAAGGACACAGAATCCCCATGGAAATAAAAAAAATGCTATTCTTTTGTTTCTAGTAATATCTCAGTTGTCCAGCACAACTCCATAGTTTCATCCACTAGAAGAGTTGCATTGGAGAACTAGAGATCCCTAGTGAAAACATTTTAAATCAAATCCTTGAATGATCAAATCCGTAAAAGCCAAATCTGTAAATGTGATGGACCAAGCATACATCCATTCCATCTACCTTTCCTTAGCTGTGCAGTGGCGCCCTAATGGGGATGTGGGAGAAGCCTCCTCCCAGGGTGCAGAAAAATAAGAGGATGGCATAGGGTCTCTTCACAGAGATACCAGAAAAGGGAAATCATTGCCAGGTAGTAGCAAAAGAGGAACAACCTTAGAACATGCCACAAGCAAAGCCAATCTTCTCCTCTTCTTCCTCACTTTCCTTAGAATTTCCTCAAATAACCCTGAAAAGGAGGGAAGAGTTATTAGAAGATGGTATGTACAGTCTTCTTTAGAAAAATTAAATCAAGCTTCTTCAAAGAAGCAGCTCTGTTAGCCTGTTTCAACAGAAGGAAAACTGGAAGAGGAGAAAAAAGGAACCTAAAACCCCTACTAAAAAGCTATATTTCATAAGACTGGAGCAGAATTCTAAATGATCTTAATAGGTTAGAGAGATGGCCCAAACTAACAAAATAAAGTTCAATGGGGACAAATGCAAGATACTCCATTTAGGCAGGAAAAAAATGTAATGGGATTTTGGCATACATAAATAGGAGTCTAGTGTCTAGATCCAGGGAAGTCATTCTACCCCTCTATTCTGCCTTGGTCAGACCACATCTAGAATCACACTGTGTCAAGTTCTGGGCACCACAATTGAAGGGAGATGTTGATAAGCTGGAGGACGATTGAAATGATCAAGATCTGGAGAATAAACCTTATAAGGAGTGGCTTAAAGAGCTGGACATGTTTAGCCTGAAGAAGAGAAGGCTGGGAGGGGATAGGATGAGGGCCATGTATAAATATGTGAGGGGAAGTCATAGGGAGGAGGAAACAAGCTTGTTTTCTGCTGCCCTGGAGACTAGGACGTGGAGCAATGACTTCAAACTACAGGAAAGGAGATTTCACCTGAACATGAGGAAGAACTTCCTGACTGTGAGAGCTGTTCAGCACTGAAACTCTCTTCCACGGAGTGTGGTGGAAGCTCCTTCTTTGGAGGCTTTTAAACAGAGGCTGGATGGCCATCTGTCGGGGGTGCTTTGAATGTGATTTTCCTGCTTTTTATCAGAGGGTTGGACTAGGTGGCCCAAAAAGTCTCATCCAACTCTATGATTTTATGGTTCTATGAGCTCTTGTGGAGATCAATTCACTTCTTCCGATGTAGTGGCAGAGGTCTTAAATCTATCATCCAGATGTATTGGGATGTTGGTGGAGGTTGTAGTCCTTGTGCTATAGTTCTCATTTTAAAAAAAGAACTACAACCCAAATGCTTCTCTGTTGCTTCTCTCACTGAGACCGATCTCTTTATTTAACTTTTAAATTATTCCAATGAAGCGATACTAAATAACTGCCTCCTTTTGTTTGTTTTTTTCAGGCTGTGAAGAATTGCTGAAAGATACATTATCTGCTGAAAACCATGGGCTTCAGCACTATGAGACAGAATATGTCGATTACTACTACCAGGTAAAGAGTGTCGCCTTTCTGTGAATTTTGGGACTGTCAAGTAGCCCTGCCATTTTTTTGTTTTGCTTACCTTAGACAGGTGGAGCTTCTTTACAGTGGATATAGTGGTGGTTGCATTAGAGTCAAAATTCTCTAAAATCCGAGGGTATATCAAATATAGTGGTTATTTGGTATATCAAATATAGTGATTATAAGGTCTCTCTCTGGAGACAAGAAATACTGTGTTCATGACTAAAGCTACCCAGTTGAAAACTTACTGCTGAATGGTTAAAGAAACAAAGGTGGCCTGGAAAGGGCAACATTCATTGTTACCTGGTCTATGAATGTGTTTTCAACCTTTTGAACACAAGTTGTATTTTGGAAGAGATAATTTGTTGCTTAGGAATTAGGTCAGTATAATTATTACTGACATGTGTGATTTGTCTGAATGCTAATCACAAAGCAGATTGTGAATGTTTTCAAAACTCAGGTTTCATTGCTAGAAGGTTCTGCTTTTTTGGTGAAAGCTTAATCATAGGATGAAGTGTGAGATGACTAATGGGGCAGAGAGGAAGAGGAGTATGTGGCTGAGCACTTTGTTATATTATATATACTGTATTTGTATGAGAGGCTTGACTTTTAAAATGCTGTTTGTATGTGACGCTTTAATGTGCAACCCAATACTGTACTGTATTCAGCTCCAAAAGATCTTCAGCCGTCTTCCTGTAGAATATCTTCACTTCAGTAACTTGACACAAATCTTTATTTATAAGAATTGAACAAAGAAATATTTATTTATGGATTCTCAGGCACACAAAGCATATTGGTTACATAGCATTTCTCCTCACAGTACTTCCTGGATATTGTTACAGTTGAATTTTATTATTATGAACACATGAAACTGTTACTATATAACTTACAGAATGGTTTATCTTATACCAACTTGGTTGAGTAACTTCCTTTACTTTAAAATGTAATTCTTTCTCAGTCTCCTGACTGGGTCACTTAAATCTTGTAGTTTATTCACCTTATCAATAGGTTAACTGTAAATTTATTTCTCAAAGGACAGTTTTCTCCTCAGTCCCACCGACTGATAATTATGTACAGATTATCCTTTTATTTACTTCAGTTCTGCCACTGAACGCACAATATATTACTGGGAATTTTTCCCTTAGCTCACAAGCTAGTTTTGAATTCAAAAATGGTTCCTTTAACACTTTAAATAACAAGGCTGAAGACTTTAATTAAGAATAAGACCTCTTTACTCCAACTCTCACATAGCCAGACATGTTCCCTTTAGCTCAACCGGCTAAAGACTCACTCATATTTTTAAAATGCCCACTCTTCTGTTGTCAGTTAGCTCTGCCCCTTTTTCCTCCTAGCTATGCTGAAATGGATACATTTCTACTGCAGGCTTCACTACTATGGCAACACACCAATCAATAAGCTGTATCTGACTCTGGCCTGCACTTGCCATATACCAACATTAATAAACACATTCAAAATTTACATTATAATTAGATACTCCATTACTACATGATTCAAAGCAATCCAAGAGAAGGCTATTGGAGGGTACAGTCCTCTTATTATAGGTTGACTTTCCCTTATCAAGAATTTCAAAATCCCAAATACTCCAAAAACTACAACCATCCATGTAGGTGACTGAGATATGGACACCTTTGCTTTCTGATGGTTCCGTGTACACAGACTTTGTTTCATGTGTAGAATTATTACAAATCTCATATATAAAATTATCTTTAAGTTATGTGTATAAGGTGTTTATGAAACATGAATGAAGTTCATGTTTAGACTTGGGTCCCCATCTCCCAAATGTCTTAATATATATATGCAACTATTCCAAAATCTGAAATACAGAACATTTCTGGCCCAAAGCATTTTAGGTAAGGGATACCGAACCTATATTTGATCCTTCCTCAATTAAGCATTGGGATATGATTCTTTGGTGTCCATAATCAAGCTAAAGTGCATTCAATTGACAGATCATTTTTGCATTGCTTTGGTGTGTGTGTGTTTGTGGAAGTTGTGTGGGTTCTCATTCAAGGCTGTGACTAACCAGTGTGGCAAGCTGCATATGTGATGTAGAGTACTTCACTTTTTGATGGGAACAAGTGTTTGAGGAGCTAACAAACTTTTTTTGCTGAATTATATAGAGGATAATGATATCAGTAGCCTTGTAAAGACCAGATATCACCTCAGAACAACAAATGATGCTTTCTCCCCTTAATCAAAGAACATGGACTATAAAGCCAGCCCAAATTACTGGGGCCGATGAGACAGAAAATTGTACATTCATTTTTCAGCCTTCTGCTCACAGTAGGAATGCAACAAGAACTAAATAAGTTATATTTTAACACCCAGAATCTGCCATGTGAAGCAAATGCTTCGCTGCCTTACAGTAAATGTAGACATTAGGATGATTTAAATAAGAGGCAGTAGCTCATGCAGGCAGACCCATAGATGTATTATTAGTCTGATAACCTGTAGTACTACTCAGTCAATGAGAAATATCACTAGCCACACTGTTCAGGAAGTAGCAGTGGGTATATTTGATTAAATTCAAACTATCCCCTAAAATCACCAGATCCCTTCTGATCTTGAAAACTGAGCAGGTTTTGTTTTGGTTAGTACTCACTTTTTTTCCATGTTAGGAGCGACTTGAGAAACTGCAAGTTGCTTCTGGTGTGGGAGAATTGGCTGTCTGCAAGGACGTTACCCAGGGGACGCCTGGATGTTATGATGTTTTACCATCCTTGTGTAAGGCCTTCTGTCATGTCCCTGCATGTGAAGTTGGAGCTGACAGAGCGAGCTCATCCGCGCTCTCCCCGGATTTGAACCTCCAACCAGTTGGTCTTCAATCCTTCTGGCACAAGGGTTTAACTCATTGTGCCCCCAGGGTCTCCTCAGATGGAAGATCACCAATGAATCTCAGATGCTACAGGCTATATTTCAGAGGAAGAAACTCTTATAAACATGGGGTAACAATAATACTACAGGTGACTTGAAGACAAGTATACACCCACACATTGATAAACAGTGCCTCCCAACAATGTCCCAGATGTGTTTTGAATCCCCAGAGATAGACATAATGTAAAATAGTTACCACCCCAAAGGAAAGAATAGAAGAAAGGTTGAGATTGTTGATTATGGAAATTGTTAGCATCCATTTTCATTTGGATAGTAACTACTACCCATTGCCTCATAGTGAACATGCACAGTATTCTCAAGGTCAAGTGGCCACTTGCTGAAAGCAGGCCTTCAGTTGAAGGATTTAAAAAGATGAATCATCTAGTTAAAGAAACAGAAAGAACTACTTTACTTTGTGCCCCCTGCCTCTTGTAATATATTTCTCTTACTGAAAGATGGTGCATTGATTTGTTCTAAAAAAATACGTTCCCCTGCTTTCAAGGGCAGCATATTGAGCCAGCATATTGAGTAAGTTTGTCCCATCAAACCCCTAATTTTCCCTTTGAAATATTTCTTATTTTGATCGTAGTTATCCTGTCCTGGGGTTTTATGCATCCCTGTTCCTTGGGTATTGATAGAAAGCTCATCATAGTATCTATCAGAGTAAATAGAAATAATTCTGCACTGTTTTTGGTTAGACTTAATATGTACAGATAGTCAGTGGAGGATTTTGCATTTCCCAAGCCTTTTACTTCTGCCAGGCAGCTTATTTTCCACATTTCCTTGCATTCATCTACTATGAAACAGAAATCAATAATTCCCAGGCTGCCTGCCATGGACTTTTTATTTCCCATTTGCCAACCACTGCCAAAGAAGAAGCTTAAACTTTTATGTTTTGTGCAAAAGCACACTTTGTTGTAACTGCTGTCAATTTCAGATTTCCGCAACCTCATGAATGAGGGACCTCCAAGTCACCCTGTCATCTGGGACCGTGGCTTTCTTGATCCAATCTGGGAATGTAGTCTTCCTTTTTTCCTATGCCTTGTCAAGCATGATTGCCTTTTCTAATGAGTCATGTCTTTTCATGATATGATCAAAGTATGGCAGCCTCAGTTCAGTCATCTAGGATGAGTTGATTTGTTCTACGAGCAAACTCTCACTGCTGGCACACTGACTTTTCACCTTGCTTGAGATCCTGCTTCCTGCCATTTGGTAAGATCAGTAACAGAAATGTCCATCAATATTGCAATCCTCGTGTGAGGCCTTACTAGTTAATGAAACCCTCTGAATGGGTAGTGGCAGGTGGCAGAGCAAAGGGGAGGTACACAGCGATTTGACACCCTCCCAATGCGCCAAAACCCAGGTGCTATATCATCTTACTTGTCCAAGGTGGCACAAGCGTTATGTTGTAGCAGATTTGTTTTGACTTATATGATAGCCTGCTTTGAGTACTAGTTTGGAAGAAGGGTGGAATAAAAAAATATAACCTAAATGTCAGATGCAGCTTTTCCATCCTGGGGTGGTTAGTCTATTCAGTTTAATTGCAGAGCCAAGCCGTTACCCCTTTGTTGTCACATCCTAAGGCACAAATAAACCAGCTCTACATCTTAAGACTCTTTTGACATCAGAGCCAATTTCGCATTTTTAAGGTCTGCCATAGCACGACAAAAGTAGGTTCAAAATGTGGCACATGACTAGCTTCACTTGAACCTGAGACCAGACCATGTGAGCACTTTTCTCTGAGATGTCCTATGTTCATCCAGTGACAACAGTTTCCCTGTTTGGCTGAGAGTCTCCAAGTTTATTAAAGGAGTAGCCTGGTTAGTCTCTTGAAGCATAGGAAGAAAGGGGGAGAAAAAGAAAAAGAACTCTGACAACACCTTTAAGATAAACTGATTTTTATTTCTACAAGAATTTTTTACTGCCTGGGGAAATCCTTTGTTGTTGAAACTGCTAGGCCATTAAATGCTAATCAAGGTGGCCAATTGAAACATTCACACCTACCTCCAACAGACAAGAGTTCTTTCTCCCACCCTGGACATTCCAAAGCTATATAAACCCCACCTGTCTAGTTTCCAGCAGACCTCACAACCTCT